GACTGCCCGCCCCAGACAAATCTGCTTTGATATAGTTCACTCCCCTACCACAAGCAACCAAAACAAACATGATGAAAGAATGACCTGTTCTCCGTTAGTGCCCTTGTCTCCAGCAGAGAAAGGGGAGGGGTAGGGGGCCATATAAGGGAAAAATCTGTGTGTCTAGACACAAAATTTCACTGTAAACCAATACACATCCCAAAGCTGCTTTGCCCTTTAGGGAATCCACGGATGCTTGCAACTTGTGTCGGAATTCTGAGCTCTTAGGGGGAAAAAAGTGCATGTGTAAGATTATCTAGTGAACCATTATGAAGTGTTTCTCAGTGGTACAGCTCTGAGAGGTTTAAGCAATGACCACAGAGCTGGACTACTGACCTGGAAAAGGGGAACCACTTTGATATCAAAACCTGGACTGGCAGCGTCCCTCGGTCACTACTTGAATGTTGAAACACTGAAATCTCTGAGGCTACATTCACACTGACAGTGTTTGGGATTGCTGAATTTACTGAAAGGTGTAAGTCTCAAGATGTCCTGTTCACACAGTCGTTTATAGTAAGAGCTTGAAGACTTTCTGTATGAACACCCTGTTGTAAAAACCAGCAAATGCTGGTTAGATATGTTTTGAAGCATGGCAGCTTGTTTGAGCTGGTCCTTAGTTGGTCAGGAGCTGGTTTAAGCTGGTCCTGAGCAACTAGCTCCTGCTCAGGAACAGCTTAAACCAGCTCATGACCAACTAAAGACCAGCTTAAACCAGCTCAAACCAGTTACCATGCTTCAAAACATACCTAACCACATATGCTGTTTTTTGAACAGGGCATGCAATGGAAGTAAAGCCTGTATTCTATTCGAGACCATCACCTCTAACAATATCAAAGATGGTGAGATAAACAAAACTTTAAAGTCTTCTCACTTAAGAAATGAAAAAAAGTCCAATTGTGAGTTCATCCATCAATTTTTAACTAGCCTACAGAAGCTTTTTATAGTAGACAGTGGCGCAAACTGATGGGAGAAAATCTTCAGATGACAGGCAGCACATATCTGCATTTTTGTAAGCTACCAAAATCACACAAGAAACCTGAAACACTTAATAGACACTTATGTAAAACTTGGAGTGGCTCTCTTTCATTGAATGAATTGAAGACTAATTGTCCAATCCAATTTCTGTTCACACACCATGGGTTTTCCAGAAAAGAGTGAGTCCTGAAAATTTTACAGTGTGTGAGTTTGGTTAGACCCTGTAAGAAAAAAAATCGTAGACCAACAGAAAAGGTACTGGTACAGGTATATGACAACATCTGTTAAGTTTACTGACATTTCCTTGATTTCTAAAACACAACACGATGCAAGGATTCATCGAAGAATGACAAGCGTATTCTGCTGCTGTGAGAACTTGGCCCAAATCTCTTCATATTTCAAATCAGGGATAAAATCTGACAACAATGACTTAATTTAGTTCAAATGATGAAATCAAAACAATTCTCAGGCTAGTCCTGCTAATGAAAATACACATTCTAGTGCAGGGTTCCTCAATAGGCGGTGGATGCGGTGCGACACGACAAATCCCCGACAGTAAACTGCTGACTCGTTCTATTTATGACGTACTGACACAAAGTTCAATTGATTTGCAATGCTTTGTCGCGTCCAGTGATACGATGTGACAGCAAAAACATGGCGAGTGTGAAGAAAAGAAAAGTGGACATGGAAAATAGATTATTCAAATGTGAATGGACTGAACAGTTTTGAGTGAGTGACTAATACCATCTTTGTTATGGAATAAACGTGTTGGTTCGCAGTGTAATTTATTTTTAAGATCCGAGGTAAAATATCTATTGTTGCTTTCACTATAGCTATAAAGATCACACAAAATAATATTCAAACTCACATTAGACAATTTTAACATTGAATAAAGCATAATAATTTCCTGAGATTATCACTGTCATATTTTGTATGTTGTTCCTGCGGTGACGTCGCAGAAAATAAAAACCGTTTCTAAAATAGAATCCTGTGTCGCTGTCACGGGTGGTTAGGACAAAAACTACTAAAATATACTTTTTATCGCTTCGCGTTGCGTCTGGTTGGGACACACGGTGTTACAGTTTGATTGTTTTTAATATTCAACAGGCAAAGTTCTTCTGTATCCAGGGGCGTAAATTTCGTCAAACAGTAGGGGGGACAATAAAGAGCAATTTTTGAAGGGGACACAAATAATACAGCTAAAATTGTACTTGTAAGGATATGTATACACAGAGGAAAGCCTTACTACTTCAAACTGTAGTGGTCGCGCCGCAACACAGCGCTCGTGTCCGTTGTAGACATTACTATCTGTCACAGTGTTGCCAAGTCCGCGGATTTCCCGTGGAATTGGGCTACTTTATCACTGTTGCCGTGGGTTGTTTTTCATGTCCGCGGGTTGAAGCGACCCCAATAATGTGTATTTTAGCCCCCGGAACGTGATTTTTACCAGGGGACCCCCTCGAAACGCGGATAGTTTGGGCTAGTTTTGAGTAGCAATTGAGCGTGTTTTGTTATGAAAACCTGGCAACCCTTTCCGTCAAGCAGGTAACATTATTATTGCTAACATAGCGACTCATTGAAAAATACATTAGCATTATCTGTATTAAAGAGAAAATAATCACTTCATCCGATGTTTAAGTGAATAAAATAGCCTTGAAAACCTTACTTACTGGAGTTCCACAACTATTGACTTTGTTCTCTCCCACCAGACTTGTGTGTGAGTGTGTGTGTGTGTGTGTGTGTGTGTGTAGGTGATGTAAAAGAGGAAAGCAGGCATTTGGACCAAATCACCAAATGAGGCAAGGGAGGGGGAGACTCAAAATGTTTCTAAACTTAAAATGCATTTTTGCCCCGTTTGTGTTGTTTTACTAAAACAGTGGACATTAACATATTTAATCGCGATTAATCGCATGATTGTCATGAGTAACTTCATCGCACCTTTTTATCTGTTCTAAATGTACCTTAAATTAATACTTTTCAAGTTTTAATACTCTAATCAACATGGGAATGGACAAATATGGATGCTTTATGCAAATGTGTTTATTATTAGTGAAACCATAGTCAACATAGAGCATGAAGACTAGACATGTTTCAAAAGTCATAGATGTTAGAGGTCAAAGAACTTGTTCATGTCTATTAGACACATGAAAAAAAAGAACGTAGAAATACCAGGTTCCCATTACTTCTCTTTATTTGCACTGAGCTATTTACTTACACAAGCCTGTTTACATTATTTGCAGGACAGGGCAGCTCACTTCTTCTGAACATGCAAAATGTACATTTATTATTTATTAATACATTTGTTTGCCTCTCTGTGCCCACATACTGTATTTTGATGCAGCTAAATTCTCAATAAACTGTTTCATTTATATAATTTACTGTTTCTGTTGTCAGACAATGGAATGAATATGAAATAGTGACAGAACCGCTACATTACTAGCTCTCCCTTCCAAGATGTTAATCTGCACAAAAATCCTGATTTATAATCGAGCCGTCATCTGATGAAATCAAATACACATAAGATAAAGACAATAGCTGTGCTGTGATTTTGGCTATACTTGCATGTAAAATTAGAGAAGCAACATAATATCTGGCTTAAATGAAAGCGCTGCTCCTCTGCCGCTCGCTAAACAGAGCAGACGCAGATAGAGGTGTGTGCGCAGCGGGAAAGAGAGACCTTGCGCTCGCGTGGCAGTACTGGCGAGTCTCAGAAACAAAATAAGGTTTTGGTAAACCCTACAGATTTGTCGCTATGCGCTTTTTTGAAAAAAAAAAAAGCCGCAAAAGGGGTCTGAAAAGGAGCTAAATCGCTAAGTTGGCAACTGTGCATCTCCATTTCTCCAACTACGGGTTAGGCCACGAGTCAAACGGAAAATGCGTGCTGTGTTAATCGCGTGCTAATAAAATTAGTGCCATTAAAATAAATTTGCGTTAACGCGTTAATTTTGACAGCCTTAATATATATATATATATATATATATATATATATATAGG